ATTAATTTTTTTAAAATTCTTGCTAATTGACAGTTTTTTTTACCTTTTCGGCAGGGAATATATATACATAGTAATAGGTTTTGATGTAACCATCCGGAGGTACTACAGTTCTGTCCATTGAGTACGCAATGGATATCCACCAATTTTTTTTTTTTTACTTTGATAGAATTCCTGATTTTCTTGTCTCAGAAACAAAAAAAGTGACAGGAAAATTTTCTAAGCTTTTTCATTCCTTTACTTTCCCATGTGCTACTTAATAATTCTTAACTCTATAATATTTCCTTTCTAACCTAGAAGGCCTGTTCTGAGACCTGTTCTGTGGCCGGGCTCTGGGGAAGATGATTTACAGAGCCATTAACAAATAACAGGTAGCAGCGCCTGGGAATGGCAAATAATCCAGTTTGGTCCTTAGGGAAGGAGGGAAGGGAAGGGCAGCCCCAGTTCCTTAAGTCAAGAGCCTTTACCGCTTCAGGGAAACCTCCATTGAAGGCAACCTGCTCTAATTATTTTACCACTATGATTTTTGGCAACAACTATAATAAATTCATATATTGTCTGGAAAATCTGCAGGATGGGAGAGATGAGGTGAGGTGGGTTAGTGTGAGATAGATGAGGTCAACACTATATGTGACGTCAGTTCACCTTTAATATAACACAACGGTAACCTTAAAGCTTCCACTCAGACCATGAGTCCAATGGGTAAGCCAGTGGTTTATAGCTGTGTGACCACCAGAGGGCACTCAGACCAGGTGAGTCCCGCATGGGTAAGCCAGTGGTCCAGCTGCCTGTTCCACCACAGTGACACTCAGACCAGTGAGTCCAGCATGGGTAAGCCAGTGGTCACAGCTACCGTGATCCACCACAGTGGCACTCAGACCAGTGAGTCCAGCATGGTAACCCAGTGGTCACAGCTGCCGTGATCCCCCCCAGTGGCACTCAGCCCAGTGAGTCCAGCATGGGTAAGCCAGTGGTCACAGCTGCCGTGATCCACCACAGTGACACTCAGACCAGTGAGTCCAGCATGGGTAAGCTGCTATCATGGTTCACTGCAAGGCCATCAACTACCCCACTTTCAACATGTTCTTAGAAACAGCGTGTTCCTGGACTCCGTCTATAGTTACGGCAACTCTGAATGGGAACGAAACCTTTGAAGCTCCCGAAGTTGCTGAATCATTAATGAAATATTTGACGATATCCTCCTCATCGCTCTACTGAAGCCTTCCAGCTCAGGCTGACAGATTTTAATACAATGTATATATATAACCTGTCCTTTGTAATGGAATATTACAGGGAAGCACAGTTAGCTTTTGTTTCCACTATGTAACCATTACACAGAACCATTACACAGAATAGAGTAGCAGCACGCTGCTGTTGTATCCAGTTTTCTAAAAAAAACACTGAATAACTTATGACGTAGCGGTGTCAGTACATATACTGTGGTGGCTTGTGGCAAAGCTCTCGCTTCACACTGTCCAGGTTCGATTCCCGGCAGGGATGAAAATATTGGGCGCGTTTCCTTACACTGGTTGTCTGTGTTCACCCATCAGTATAAAATGAGTACCTGGGTGTTAGTCGACTGGTGTGGATCGCATCCCGGGACAAAATTCGCCTAATTTGCCCAAAATGCACAGCAAACAAGCGGCTTTCTGTATAGTAGTATGCCATTGATGTCAGCTAAGCCTGTATACATTGTATATGTACTTGTAGAAATAAAGATATTATTTTATCATTATTATTATTATTATTATTATTATTATTATTATTATTATTATTATATTATACCAGCTGGGCCGTGGCTCGTACGTTGGATTGCGTGCAGCCAGCAGCAACACACCTGTTGATCAGGCTCTGATCCACCAGGAGGCTGGTCACAGACCGGGCCACGGGGGCGTTGACCCCCGGAACTCTCTCCAGGTAAACATATCGAGTAAGACGCATGTGCAGACCATGGAGCTGAACTCTTCTCCAGGCTGAGGGACTGACCACCTCCAATTCTATTTCTCCAAGGTTGATGGACTG